TTAACAGGGCATCATGTGGTTAGGTAACATCTAGTAAATCATGGTTAACGTCTTCACAAGTAAGATAGAAGTCGTTGCATTAACAGAAACGATCCGTCAGCAATTGCTAAAGTTTGTTAAACGGGAGTAGAACAGGTTTGTTAGGATACTTAAAGGTCTTCAACAATTTATATGCATCTGTACTGACTGGAGTTAAAAAATGGTTTGGAGTACAATCTTCCTCGATGTTGTGTGACAAACATCAAGTATCAATACACTAAATAATTTTCCATTTTCCCTGGTAACGTATTTCCCCGAATTACTTTAATTCGTCTAAGCAGCGTTATCGGGTGTGATTCGCAACGATCTGACGCGAAGCGAATGATCCCTGTTGAACCGGAATATCAAAAAAGACACAAGGAAGTACTTAAATTCAGAGCATAAGGTATGAATTTGTACTGTATGGTTCAAACAAACGTAAGCATATAGAAGAATATTTAACTGCCAAATAAACGTATTTACTATTCATAGCACTTCTGTGGCTAGATCACCACTTATTGTTAACAAAAAATACCTGTAATCGTACTGAAGTAATAAGGAATGAGCACAAACAGATGGATCGGGTTACACTTGCTTGCTCAAAAGCTATTGGCTATTGGATGACAGCGTGTTATAGTCAGTCTTTTTCAAGGTGAAAAGAACGCGCTATAGAAGGCGTAACAACCGAACGTTGCTATCGTTACGGAAGCGTGCTGTCTTAAGGTAGGTGATGTATTTTCGGGTATAATTACTGCACCGAACTGTTTGGATAAAAAAATATTGTCGGCCGTAATAAAATTTATCACTTGAAAGGGTTTTAAATTTGATATCTAAAATAAATCTCGTACTGTTGTGTTTGGAAAAGAATGAGACGGAAACTCTCTGGGTTTCGCAGTGAGGTTGACTAGCTTCCATAGATCGTTTCGAAGGTATATCGGAGATTCACATTCGATTGAAATCCTTATATTTGGAATATTATGATTCAGGAACAGCTTCTCTCGTACACGAAATACAGATAAGTGTATACATTCACACATACTACAGTGGGAATAACGTGATGCTGTTATTTTTTGAAGTGAAAAATGGTGTATGTTGGCTTTAAACTTGTTAAGACGGACAAGGAAATAGGCTGACATGTAGAAAACCAACTACATTCCTTTCTCGTAGTGTTTATCGAAGTTTATTATCTATAACACTAAAAGTGATTGCTGAGTCATGATATAAATCACTAGAATTCCTCAAATAATCTGATATGACGACCAGATAAGTTGTTCATAAGCCGTCGTTGCATATTTAAGTTGAACCGATTTCTGCAACTTCTAAGTCGAATGATCATTTTCAGATCACCTAATTTATTATCTTGGGCTGTGTTAGTATGTAAAAGATATAGGTAACTGTATCCTTAGTTGGAACCAGAATTAGACTGTCATAACTTGCATGAATCTCTTCAAAACTGTAAATACGCCGTGCTGTAAAGTAATTGTTAAATATAAAGTAGTTCTGGCAGCACCTCACTGACTGCTATCAACCACTGAAAACACCAACTTCTAATAATTGGAAATATTTCATGCGTTTAAGTTAAATGAATCTCGATTTGAGGCTTGTTTGCTATAGGCTGGAGAACTATTGACAACTGGCGTGCGTTGTTTTGGATAGCATGTGTTATTCCAGTTTGATACAACCAAGCAATTCGTACTCGGTTAGTGTTTGATCGTTGACCGTGATGAGTAATTGGAGATGTTGGATGACATGGCTAAGAATCGGCTACGGTGGTGTAGATTGTTTTTGTAGCTTAACGTATTTGGCTACATTATTCTTTATTCACACCTTTTCACTCCGTCTTCTCAGCCATATCCCTAATGTTTGGTCTGTCTAACTGTTGTGCTGATATAGCTAGCGAACGTCGGCTAGCGTACATTTGTGAATGTCTTCTCGTGTTTAGTTGGCTGAATTTCAGGCTGTACAGTGAACGCAGTATAGCAGGTCCATTGATATGAAACTCGGTCAATCAACAACAACATAGAACTTCGTACGTACGTACATCAGTTCAAGTTGCCTTACTTCATTAGAACAGAGATGCAATTGTCGATTCAAATCCCATAGAAGTACAAGTAGTAGAAGTATTAACAGTAATCGGAAAAAGAAAAAGACAAAGGTGATGAGGAATTTAGAAGATTAGAACTTCAACGAACACAAAGAATGAATGCATCTGCGCCATTGCAAATAATTTTGAGCCATGTCGATTACTATCGTTCTGCGGGCCCCAACCAGGTAATCGACACCTACCAACATGGTTCAGTCCAGCAAAAAGCCAACTCGCTAAAAACAAGCTCATCATACAACTCACATACATTAGATTGCTATAACCAGTATGATCAAATATCTCAAAAGTGTTTAGCTATCTTAATGTAAACAGTATCATAATTCAAATTGGATAAAGTTGAAATAATGTATAGCTGGATATTTCACTCGGTAGTCTAAATATATTTAAGTTGCAGAAAACCTAATTTTGAGTAAGATTTCGGATATAGACTGATCAATAGTGAGGCAAAATTAGTGCGTGGTCGTTTAATTGTCATCGAGTTTTGAACCTCTAGTGTCTAAATTTCTATCAGTGCTTTTGTTTTTACTAATTTATGTTTTATCTATTATCTTATGTTTATTAGTGAGAACTGTCAACTACAAATCGATACCGTCATATCAGCCAAAAATGGATCATATGTCATCAACCTGTTTGTCGAAAAAGCCCAACTTAAGCTACAAATTGTCATCAACTTTTCTAGAAACATACGAGTCAACTAAATTAGCGCTGGCCAATGCATGCAGTTTGACTAAACAGTTGAATAGGGAATTAACAGACTGCAAATTGGAATTAGAAACTTTACGAAGACAACATAAACCTCAAGCTGTACGAGTTAATAAAGTAAGTGGTATTTGTTTGTGAAAATGTCAACTTATTGTTAGCACTATCAATAATTTGTATTAAGGTGCTGGGAAATAATGGGTTCTAAAATGGTCATTCGGTTTAGTTTGGATACTCTGATAGCGATCTAAATTCTCATTATTACCATAAATGGACTAATTTAATGCAACTAACCAGATGGTTCCAATATTCTACTTTCCTTTATTTCAGTCAGTCAGTAACAACGTAGGACTTGGTACGTACTTGTGTCAGTTCAGGTTGCCTTACCACATTAGCTCAAGGATGCGAGTGTCAGTTCAGATCCCATAGTGATAAAGTTTGTAGCCACATTGGCGGTAATGGAAAAGATTAGGGATCAAATGTGTGATTCGAGAAGTGTAATCCAGTGAAATAAATTCAAAAAGAGAAGAATAGTCATGAGGAATTCAGAAGACTAGAATTTGGAGAATACAAAGAATGGATGCATCTGCGCCGCTGCAAGCGATTTTGAGCCAGTTCATTCAAAGTCTCCAACTACTGGTTATGATTGTCTCGCAGACCCCGATCAGGTAGTCTACATCTACCAACACGACTCAGTCGATAGTCAGTGACTAGATAAATTTGTGCCATGTTTTGCTTTGGCCGCCCCTAGCTTTCTTCCAGCCTACTCATACACCAGGAAACGTCGCTCGTCGAGATAGCCAGTGGTCAGGCACACCTAACACCTGTCCCAACTACCTCCACTGGTGAAGATTCAATCCTTATCTGATACCCTTAACCTAAGCCCAGCATTACTTACTTGATGGTCTCAAGATACACGAGCAATGCTTCGAAGACGCTTATGATTGAATACTAGTAACCTATGAATATCCTCTATTCTTAATGGCCATATTTCGCACCCATGGATTAAAGTGGAGAGAGTTGATGCTCAGTAATCTTGTCCTTTGGTCGAACCTTCTGTATCCATGCGGAGATTTAGTCGGACACCAGGTGATCAGAACTGATGAGACTCCCAAAATAAGTGAAGCGGTCAACATACTAAACTTCTTCACTCCGTGTCACTAGTTCAGGTGTCTACGCAATTCAGTCGTGAAGGGACATTTTTTATTTGGAGGGAAAGGGTTACACACCAAAAATATTTTCATTGTTGTTTGAGGTGGTGAGAATATTACATTATGTCAACGTCTTCACCAAAAAGAACTATTTTAAGTCAATAAGTGAATCCCCTTTTTCGAAGGTCAACTTCTGAAAAGTCAGATGATGAAAGTATTGTCGCTAGGAAGCTCTATAGATTCTCATCAGATTCAATAAAATTTGACACTTTATTCAACTTGCAGATAATAAGTTTACTTAATTTCTTAATGTATATTTGTCTGAGGTTATTGGTTGTCAGTTTTTTTCGTTTGCCTTGTCACATGGAAACCTGTAAGAAAGAAAATTCCGTGCAACGAATGTCATATTGTACGACATTTAATTATTATTGGATGAAGACAATAAAATTATTCTCTATTGTAATTGTAATTGTAAGACTTCATATATTTTGACTGGTGAATAAGGCTATTTAACGAGTAGCGCAACAGTTGAATATCGAGTAGTCGAAAGACAAATCGGTTGAATGAATCGATTCTCACTTACTTGAATACACAAATTGGAAAATGACTGAAAACAGAGTATATTTATTATTATTATTCTGTGTAGATTTATGCAGTTACTCCAAAAATATGATTGATAATAAACCATGTTGTATCAAAGATACGGGTATCCTATTACACAATACATATGAATCATTGTTGGTTATGAGGTAGTGTGTTCGTTGCAACATATGATGCTAGTTGATGAGTTGATACGTGTTTGTCAATGGCGAACACGGCTGAATGATTTTTTTTAAGTGCCATGATAAAATTTCAAATTTAAGCATAATTTATTTTTCCTAAAATGAAAAACCTTGAGTTTATGACATTGATTGAAACAATGGAATATTGGTTGTTTGATTTGGTTGTTGTGAAATGAAAGACGATGCCGAGTTTACGACATTGACCGAAACAATGACTAATGATTGTGTTTACTTCTTCTCATTCAGGTTGTGTCACGAGAAGGTGGTATTTCGAAGAGCTTAGCAGGAGAACAGAGGGAGATGTCGGTGAGTGTTGAAATAAATTTTCATTGTTGGTTATGAGGTAGTGTGTCAGTTGCAACACATGATTCGAGTTGATTAGTTGATACATGTTGATGGAGTATGAGGAGGATTTGTAGAGTGCAATGAAGTGTTCGTGTTTTGAAGTTAGCATGAATTGCGGTGTGTTAGTGTGACATAGATGGATTAAAGCATGACTACGTTGCTGCGCACTGATTGGCTAATTTCCTATCCAATCAGCGCCTGATCTATCCTTGGAGAACAAGGTAGAAACTTCTCGTGTTGTTACCTGCACGCTGATTGGCTAAATCTAATCCAGTTGATCACGTGAATTACTATCCAGAAGCTTCTCATGTAAATACTATAAAGAAACTAACGTTGTATCTATTTTGACTTCGCCTTCGGTTTCTTATTTCATTTAACCTTGCCATCTGGAATATAATCTTTTCCTGATCTACCGTGTTCTTGATTCTTTGGAACTTGTCCAGTGTGTTGTGGCCAGAGAATACTAAGCAATAGGAATTAGCTGGAACATAATTCAAGCAAGCGTTACAACAGTGTGAGATTACTTACACGAAGTGATGTAGGTGAAATGACAGAGAGAATAATGTGAATGGCGAAGCGGACTGAATGACTGAGTGAGCTGTGTGTAGCGATGATGATTATGAGGCGGACGTAATTGACCGACAAATCTATGAAAGATGATTTTATTGTGTGTATTTGATGGGAGATGGTTGTTTGATTTTTGAAATAAATTTAACTCTGCTAATTAGGTTTAGACGTAGAATTCTATATGTACGTTTATCGGTTTAAGTCGCAATGCAACATTTGCACAAAGTTGTTGATTTCGCAATTTAAATTGAATTTCGCTCGATGTACTTCATGCCTTAGCGGTAATCGAAAAGATTAGGGTGCGAAAATATCACTCTAGATGTACATCCCAGTCTGTTAAATTTAAAAAGCGAAAATGATGTTCATGGGATATTCAGAAGATCATAGTTTGAGAGAAGACAAACGATGGATGTGCCTGGGTCATTGCGAACGGTTTTGAGCCATATCATTGGAAGTCTATAACCATCGGTTACTATCATCACGCGGCGAGATATCTGCTTGTTAACCGAAGGAAGAGTGTATTGTGCAGCAGTTCGTTCTGTCCTACTATACGGGTGCGGAACATGGCCGTTAAGAGTAGAGGACATTCGTAGGTTACTAGTCTTCAATCATAGGTGTCTCCGAAGCATTGCTCGTGTATCCTGGGACGACCGAGTAAGCAATGCTATCGTTAAGAAACGAGTACTAGGTAAGGATGGCAGATCAATAGATGAAGCATTGAAACTTCATCAGTTGAGGTGGTTGGGACATGTGTTACGAATGCCTAACCACCGACTGCCACGACGAGCTATGTTTTGTGGTGTAAGAGTAGGTTGGAATAAAGCTTGGGGTGGCCAGATCAAAACATGGCAGAAATCCATGAAGTCAGTGACTAGTGGACTTAGTCATGTTGGTAGATGTAGACTACCTGGTTGGGGTCTGAGAGACGAAAGTCACCGATGGTTAGAGACCTTGAATGATATGGCTCAAAATCGTTTGCAATGGCGCAGGTGCATCCACTCTTTGTGTGCTTTTTAATTCTAACTTTCTGAATTCCTCGTAATCTCTATCTTTCTCCTTCTAAATTGATGTCACTGAATTATAATTCTCGAATCATATCTTCGCTCCCTAATCTTCTCCATTACTGCTAATAATTCTACTATCGCTATCACTGTTGGATTTGAAGTGACAGTTGTGTCTCTGTGCTGATGTGGTATGGCAACCTGAACTGATGTACTTATGTACGAAGTTCTGCGTTGTATCTGTCTGTCTGGACCCCAACCTGGTAGTCTACACCTACCCACATTGCTCAGTCAGGTCTATGTACCACATGTTACTACCATCTTCAGTCAGTCAGATGCAACGTAGAACTTTGTACGTAAGTACATCAGTTCATGTTGCCATACCACATCAGCACAGAGATGTAATTGTCAATTCAAATCCAATAGTAGAAGAGGTAGTAAGGGAATTAGAAGTAATCGGAGAGGTTAGGATTAGAGGATATTATTCAAGAAGTATGATTCAGTGAGAAAAGTTTAGAGAGTCGAAACTAGAGGTGTTGAAGAACTCAGAAGATTAGCATTTGAGAGAACACAAAGAATAAATGCACTGGCGCCATTGCGAACGATTTTGAGCCATGTCATTCAAGGTTTCTAACCATCGATGATTATCATCTCGCGGACCCCAACCAGGTAGACGACAATTACCGACATGGCTCAGTCCACTAGTCAATGACTTCATGGATTTCTGCCATGTTTTGGTCTGGCCGCCCCTAGCTTTCTTCCAACCTATTCCTACACTACAAAACAAGGCTCGACGAGGCAGTCGGTGGTTGGGCATACGCAACACATGTCCCAACCACCTCAACTGGTGAAGTTTCAATACTTCATCGATTGATCTGCCATTCTTACCTAGCACCCGATTCCTAATAACAGCGTTGCTCACTCTGGTGTCCCATGGTATACGAGCAATGCTTCGAAGACACCTATGATCGAAAACCAGTATAACCTACGAATATCTTCTACTCTCACTGGCCATGTTTCACAGCCATATAGGAGAACGGAGCGAACTGCTGCGCAGTACACTCGTCCTTTAGTCAGCAAACGGATATCTTGCCTACGCCATAAGTGATGCAAATTGGCAAAAGCCAATCGAGGCTTCTGTATCCGTGCTGAGATTTCGTCAGTCACCAGGCCATCGGCACTGATGAGACTCCCAAGATAAGTGAAGCGGTCTACACGCTCGACTACTTCACTCCCTATCACTAGTTCAAGTGCCGATGCAACCCAGTCTTGAACCAACACTTTGCATTTCGAGGGGGAAAGCCTCATCCCGAACATGCTTGCATTGTTGCTTAGGGTAGTCAGAAGTCTGCATTTTGTCAGCGTCTTCACCAAGTAGGACAATGTCATCGGCATATTCTAAGTCAATAAGCGAGCCACCTGGTAGTAGGTCTACTCCTGAAAATTCAGACGAGGATAATGTTATGTCTAGGAGCATGTCTATGATGAGATTAAACAAGAATGGAGAAAGTGGACATCCCTGACGGACACCACTTGATGTAGAGAATTCCGGTGACAGTTCGCCATAAGCCCTCACTCGACCAGTGGTGTTCGAGTAAAGAGCTTGTATGAGGTTAATGTACTTCTTTGGTACACCTTTCAATGACAGACACTGCCACAGAACCTTACGATCAACAGAGTCAAAAGCCGCCTTTAGGTCCAGGAAAACAACTATTGTAGGACGCCTAAATGTGTGTCTATGTTCCAGGACCTGTCTGAGTGTGAAGACGTGGTCTATACAGCCGCGTCCAGGTCAAAAACCAGCTTGGTTTTCTCGAGTCTGCTCTTCCCGAGCTTTCGTTAAGCGTCGAAGTATTATTGAGGCCAATATTTTAGATACTATATTAGTTAGACTGATTCCCCTGTGATTGTCACAAGAAGACTTTTGTCCTTTCTTATAGATTGGGACAATCAAGGATTGAGACCAGTCCGATGGGATTGGCTCGAGTTCCCAGATTCTACCTAAGATCTCAGTCAATCTAGCTGCTAAAACTGGACCACCATCCTTAAATATCTCAGGGGTCAGTCTATCAGGACCTGCAGCTCGTCCTCGTTTCAGATTTCCTAACGCTTTCTCAGCGTCTTTAAGACTAGGGGGACTTACGTCGATTTGCCATTCAGGATGACTGGAGATCGTGGGTAACCGAAGAGTGGCTCAAGGCCAGTTGAACTGATCCCTAAAGTGTTCTGCCCATCGATCTAGTCTCCTGGATTGAGAATGGATAATGAGACCATCCTTTTCCGAGATAGTCTCACTCACATTCGGGTTCTTAATACCAGTTTCTTTAATAAGGCGGAAAAGTTGTCTACTGTTGCCTATCGCCGCTGCCTTTTCCATCGCTTTTGCTTTCGCCACCCACCACTGTTCGCGGTCGTTACGCAGACTTTTTATAAGTCTGCGCCTAAGCTGACTACGCTCTTCATCATGCTCAGAGTCAGGTGGGATGCGTTTTCGAGCATCCATCAGTTCGGTTGATGCGACTGAAATCCACGGCTTCATCCTAGCCTCATGGTTTACCTTCCTAGCAGATATCACTGCTGTTTCCACAGCCTTTTTGATATCATTCCATCCTGCTTCCGGATGGGAATCGCTTAAATGGTCGCCTAACTGTCTTTCTAGTTGTTCCTGAAATATATTTTTCGCCTTATTATCATTAAGTAGAACCCTAAGAGGCTTTCTTACGGTGTCTGTCCTACGTCCAGTAAGCCTTAAGCAGATACGAGCTCGCACTAGGGCATGATCTGAATCCAAACATGTGCCCCAGAACGAGCGACAGTCTTCTATCGAACCCCTCCATCGGTGGCTGATGGCGATGTGATCTAGTTGAGTCCAAAGTTGAGACGACTTCGGGGGTCGCCAGGTCAGCAGATGCTTCTCCTTATGCCTGAAGTTGGTGTTCGCTAAGAATAGGCGGTTATCTGAGCTCAGTTGCAACAGACGGTCACCATTGTTTGTTCTCTCAATCGCTACACCATAACATCCACCAAGATGTCTTTCCTTTTCACCTAGTCTACCTACTTGAGCATTAAAGTCACCAGCCATTATTACTATATCAGAGCGCCTAGCTTTTTGCAGGAGGTCCGAAAGCTTTCAGTAAAACTCATCTTTAACCTCGTCTGCACTGCAGTCAGTGGGGGCATAGGCAGATATGACGAAGAGGCAACGGCGAGTGTCCCTATGCCTCCGAGTCCTTACTGTCCCATTTAGTCGGACAGCGCACAAACGACTATCTACTGGGATCCAGTCTAGGAGAGATAATTCTGCCCTAGGACTCAACGCTATGCCTACGCCAGCAAGACCCCTGGAAGCAGCATCAGGGCTACCGGATACATGAAGAGTAAATCGAGCTGCTTCTTCGTTTTGACAAGGTGTAATCAGGTTAATGACTTTACTAGGATCCTGTATGCGCGTTTCCGAGACGCAGCATACATCGATGGCACGAGTTTCTAAAGTCCTAGCTAATGATGCCTGTTGCCCTATTTGACACAATGTCCGTACATTAAAAGCTCCAACATTTAGTCTAGAACGGGGTTTCAAGAGACCAGGAACGATGTTTCGTGATCTCGCTTCGTCTGCATTAGCGGTGAAGTGAGAAAAGGGAGTGTGAGTAGAGTTAGTCGTAGAGATAAGAGAGACATTAGAGGGTGTAGGAAGGATTTGATTTTGACCAATTTGGTCTCGCGTGCTGTTACGGGTATGAGGGCGGTTGTCACTTCCCGGCTGCCCACACCGTGGAAGGTTGTTTCTTGAGGGACCTGAAAAGGAAGATGGATTAGTGTTGGTGCGTGACCGCAGAGCCCAACGGACAACTGCTTGAGGCCGGTCACGCACGGCCTTTTTATGAAAGGTATTTAGAGGATTAGCTCCGTTCTTAAAGGCCCTTAGTGGGCACCCTTACCCAGGGAGACGGAAATCCGTGAGTTAGGGGGAGTGTGACATTTTTAGGGCCGACCTTTTCTAACCCTTCCTTCCTTGTGAGAAGGCAGCATCGCTGCAGATGCTGGTTGTCCGAGGGAGACACCTTACTGCTGTCACACCCCTCTGCAGTCAGCAGTACGACTTCGCCCTCAGACCTTGGGTAGCTGCTTTTAGTCTTATCGTTCTCCAATCGACCAGCCTGGCATGGTAGGACCTGCAGGAACATATGTTCCAGCCAGTATAGCTCGGTTGGGTCATCACGATAGGCAAGCCCGACCACCACGTCAAGGTAGCAGCTTCGGTCGGGTAGGTGTAGACTACCTGGTTTGGGTTCACGAGACTATATTAACCAATGGTTAGACACTTAGAATGACATGGTTCAAAATCATTGTCAATGGCTCAGATGCATCTACTCTTTGTGGTCTCTCTTATCCTCATCTTTTGAATTCCTCTTGACCGTTTTTTCTGCTTTTTAAATTGATTTCACAGGATTGTACTTATCGAATCATACCTTCAACCACTAAACTTCTCCATTAACTCTAATACTTCTACTGCCTATACAACTATGGGCTTTGGATTGATAATCCGATCTCCCTGTGCTAACGCGGTATGGCAACGTGAAATGATGTACGTATGTAAGAAATTCTACGCTAACTGACTGACTAGCTTACGATATAATCGGCTTACTGTACAACAGAATATATAAATCACTTAATACTGAGACAAAAAATAGAAAACTGTTGAAAACACTAAAAAACTAACTAGTAAATCATGAAGAAAAGACTTACGCGAAAAAATACAGTGGGTAAAGCGAACCTAGTGACATAGAAGTTAAGTCCCTTAGCCTGTGATTCAGAAAAAACCTTGAAACGTCCGGCAATGTAACCAAGGAGAATTACACCGAAACACTGAGTGAGCACTGGAACCAGTTGAGTGAATACATCTTGAGAGTTGACCGTGGAATTAGAGGAAGTAGGTGAAGTTGAAACTATTGACACAGGCTTGCTGTCCATGTTTCTGTAGAGGGCGAAATAAGAAACGAATGAAATACGGAGAGTAATTTGGTTGATATTTAAGGAAAAATTCACTGATTTTGAGTAGTTTATTCGATAACATTATTCAATATCCTCGAAAATAACCGTCTAACAACAGATGTACATGTAAAATACATATACGTTGCAGATAATGAACAGAGATGGCCCTTGAAATTTCCATTTTCAGTGAATAGTAATATTAAGAAATTTCGAAGACACATCTAATTCAATGAATGAATGATAAGCAGTTTGAAAGCATAGTCTCCATATTTACTACACACGTACAAACTTTTCCTGGGAGTATAAAATCACTTTTTTATTCAGCTTGGAACACTGAGCATCTACTTAGTAGGTAGCATATAATGTAAATGTAAATAAAGTGACAAATAAGATTTTCAAGTAGTAAGAGGCCAACGAGACTTACTTAGATTACACGGAAACCTTTCTCTTTCAGTTTTTGCAGGACACAACCTTTGAATGAAGAAAACCTGACGTCGATTTCACCCTCTTCTAGCTCATCAAAGCCATACAATGATTTGTAGCAAGTTTCGCTTATGCAAAGTCGAATACATTTCGTATGTTCCAGTGAACCACTGTTGTGAAGTGAGCAGATATCATTACAGTCTGATGTAACTTTCTGAAACAACTGTTCGTTTGTAGCTTTGCGTTTATATTGATACACCGGGAATTTGAAGGATGTCCTTGCGGAAGATCCACAAGCAAACAATACTAAATATAAAATGAGGAATTTTGACATGAGCGGGAGGACTCAGACTTTACCTACAAAACGTCAATTTGATTATTTAAAACACGCAAAGATTTCGAATGTCCACTATCGTTTCCACGTGCTAGTATAAGATGATAGATAATCTCGACAC